CCGCCGGTCTCGGCCAGAGACTGCGCCGCTGCCATTTCAGCATCAGGCAGCGTGGCGGGGGGGGGAGTAGCAGGAACTCTCTTGAGGCTGCCGCTGCCGCCGTGCGTGCGCACAACATGGCATGGCCTGCTCCAGCAAGCCCCCCCGCTGTCGCTGCCGCCCCGCGCGCAGGTATGGCAAGCGCGTGGCTCTGCACGAGGCCGGGCACTTGTTGATAGCCTACCTACTCGGTGAGGATAATCGCCAAATTAAGGGGGGCATAGGGGCATCCTGGGTGTGTTCTTTAGAGGTTTGGGGGGGGGGAGGCCCAGCGGCTCATGCTGGCCCGCGGCAAGCCCCTGGCAACCAAAGGGCACTGCAGGCCAAAGCCGCAGCAAGGACGATGGGTGGCGTCAGGGGCGGGTCAACAACAGCAGGTGGCCAAAGGGAGGCATGCCAAGGTGGCTCGTCGGCCTTTGAGCCTGCCTCTTCAGGCCCTGCGGCTTGTGATGCCTCCCCCTTTTCTTTTGAAGCACACACACGCGTGCACTTGCGTGCACACCCACACGCACGCGCGCATCGCCTCGGACCCCACCCCGCCAGGCGTCATGCCCAAGGCGTACACCTTGTCGTCACTGGACGCGTTCACGCGGTGAGGGCGCACGCCCCTCACCCCCACGCTGCAGCAGCCCCCTTAGATTCGGCCACCTGTGTGCCGCAGCCAGCAGCATTCCCGCTGCGTTGCGCCCCTCTGCTGTGGCGACGCTTTGCTGCTCTTTGCGGGCCCGGTGACCTCAACACATCATCGGGCACCCTCCCCTGTTGCTGCAAGACCGCCTCTCACGGCCGCTGCCGTTGGACACCCCCTCGACTGCCCCCCACCGCTCGCGTTTTCCGCGCCCCGCTGCTCCCCTCCCCTAGGTACCGCGCCCTGAACGTCCAGGCCGGCACCACGTTCTGCGACACGGCGTTCGAGGCCGAGGTCGCCAGCGGGCGCCTGAGCGGCGGGACGCTGGACAAGTACGCCTGCGTCGCCCTGGCAGGTGCTGCCTGCACGCGCATGCGCGGCGCGGCGGCGCCCTATCCGTCCGGCACATACGGGCGTTGCGGTTCTGATGATGCATCACCTGACAGAGTTGCAAATGTTGGCTCCAGGGGTCTGGGACTTTCGTCCCCCGTGCCGCCTGCCTGCGCGTACATATGCGAAAACATCTGCGTGGTCAAGGGCGTCCATGCAAGCACGTGCTGGTACACCCGTCCTCCTTTGACCGCACTTTGACCAGGCGTCGTGACTGAGTACCTGAGGTTTGGCCAGGCGGAGGGCGGCGTCGGTGACGTGGCGCAGCTGGACCGCCTCATGCGCGCCCTCAGCGTGAGGCCCCTCCGCCCTGCCGCGAAACTCAACCCTGAAACCTTGAACCCTGCATTTGGTCGACACCAGCACGCGACACCACTGCGCCTAGGCTGGCTGTCAGCGCCCTCTAACGGCCCCGTCGGTCGTCATCCAGCTACGCCTCGTTAGCTCGCTCTGGCGGCACCCTCATCACCTTCACACCCATAATTGCTAAGCTGCCCTATCCTCACCATATTCAACAGCGCGCCCTTCCCCCTCCTGCCCTCGCCCCCCACCCTTGCACCCCAGTTTACCCAGCGGAAGGCGGACGGCCAGGTCAGGTGGGCTGTTTTGAACGTCGCCGCCCTGCTGCGCCGCCACGCCGCCCTCCAGGACGAGGTTGCTGCCGCCATGTCAGCAGGCGTCAGCGTCGGCGGCTGCGTGGCCGTGATAGAGCGCGCGCTGGCCGGCAACACAGAGGACATTTTGAGCTCGGAGGAGGCGGCGGCGGGAGGGGCGGCGGCGTTCATCAGCAGCGGCACCAGCAGCGGCGGCACCAGCGCGCAGGGCTCGCAGCAGGAGGCGTAGGCAGGGGGCTTGATTGTGGCAAGCGATCCACAGCCAGGGATCCTCTTTTGGGGTGCAACTGCGCGTATGTGTGCAGAGATCACACTGCAATGTTTGATGCTGTTCAGCAACGAGCGACTATTTTGGATGCCGTGGTTTCGTGTGAACGTAGGCGAAGCGTCTCTGCGCCCGCACGCGGCGAAGGCGGCCTGGCAGCTTTTTGCGGCGGGGTGTGTTACTTTCAAAATTGCGACGCTGTGCTTGCTGTGCTGGCAGATCAAATGTGATGCTTGACCGAGAGCTGTTGGTTTGTACCCCCTCCTGCTCTGCCGATGCCGTGTGCAAACAGCTGCTGTTACAAGTGACATTGAAAGCCGATTACGAGGGCGTCAGTGGGGCTGCTGGGCTGATCACAGCCTAGGGTGCGGTCTGATCCTCAAGGGCATAGGCCTGGAAGTGAGCAGGCCCGACCTAGTGGTGCAAAGCACGATGGATCCATGGGAGGACGGGGCTTGCGTTCGTGTGGGTTTGCACGCAGTAGGGCGCCTACAGAGCAGCACGCACTCGCAGCATGCCTTCAAAGAACCTGCAGTCAGCTGCATGGGACCACGCATCGATACATGGGCGAAGCGACGACGGGTTGGGCAGCGCGAGCAGTGGCGCTGGCTGGCGGCGCGCGAGTGCTCTTTACAGTCATGGGTGCTTGCAGTCACCAGAGGTAAGCAAGGACGGCGTAAGCCTATACAAAAATAAATGCGTGGCAGGTCAACAACCAGTCAAAACGATAATTCTTAGCTGAAAACGACGACATAGTGCCACAGCCAGCAAACCACGTTGATGACACAACAACGAAGTGCTCGCAGCGCTTGAGCACGCAGCCCTGCAGGACCACGACAACACACACAAACCCGAAACAAGCACGGGCAGCACAACTAACGCAGCAAACGTAGTTTAAATCACGATCACTCTCCGCCAACCCTGGCTGCGCATCGCACCACAGGCTGCAGCGGGTCTTTGGCGCGCAGCACGCAGCCATCGGGCGTCGGCACGTCGCTGTACCTGATAAGGTCACCCGTCTGCAGGACGGATGGTTGCACGCGTTGAGTGACAAGGGTTACGCATGGCAAGGCCAGGCTCAAACATGACCAGGACGCCACAAGACATAAGCTTGCTCGCCAGTGCCACAGACGCGCTGCCTTGTTTGTCGCGTGCCGTGGTCCTGCATTCGACAGCGGCGGCCGATCCAACAGCACCCACCCCGCACGACCCATCGTGCCCCCAGCTCACCCTCATCTTCCCCACGTCCAGCTCAATCTTGGGCGGCACCGCCCACCCCTGGCACATAAGCGGCACCGCTCTGTTCACGACGTGCAGCCAGCCGCCGCCCTTGACGCCCGGCGCCGACTCCTCGCCCCACAGGGCCACCGGTACCCTGACCAGCGCGCGGCGGTCGCGTGGCATGTACATCAGGCGCAGGTTCTCAACCACCTGGGACGCGCTGTTGACCATGACCTGGTTGGGCTGCCCAAGGGGGGGATGTGTGATGCGTGACGTGTGATTGGACCCCGTTACAGAAGCGATTGGGGAGGCGGTTGCGCGGCCGCAGGTCTGCAGGGGCACCTTGCATGAGGGGGCAGGCGACGCAGGCGGAAGGGCGGCCCTCTGCCCCGTGTCGATGGCAAGTCCCTGCATGTACCCCTGAAACTGGTCGCCCTGGCCGCACAGCTGGCTGTCCAGATGCACCAAGCCCCTGACTCTACAGTGCCTCTGCCTTGCGTGACACTCCCTGCAGCCAGGCGGCTCACCAGCACACGCACTGCCCCTAGCCGCTGCCCTTCCTCTCCGACCAGTTCGAGCCGCATGACGCGCGCCAGCAGTCCGTTGCGCCCAAAGTTGCGCACCTGGGCGGGCCGCGGCATGGAGCAAGAGTGCCAAATTGATGGTGTGTGCCGCCACCTCGGGCAGGGGCGGAGGGAGGGGCGAGCAGCTCGTCCGGCGACGCTTCAACTCCTGCTCACCCACGGCGAATTGTGTGTGCCCCGGCCGCCAACTAGTACGGACACATCGTGTTTGAAACGGGACGCGCTCCCAGACCCCATACATCCAGCAAATGCGGGCTCACATGTGCCTCCGCCTCCTTTGTTTCCAAATCCAGCAGCAAGAACTTTTGGTCGGGCAAGCTGAACAGTACTGCCGGCGTCCGCCCGCGCCGCCGGACCTTTGTGCAGTACGTGGTGCCGCTGCCTTCACGCACGCACGCATTGACAACCGGCAACCCTGCGTGGAGGAAGGCAGAGCCAAGCGGCGGCCGACCCATCGTGCTGTGCCAGGTTGCTGACCACCGGTGCAATGCAGCAGCAGGCGTGAGAACTGCACAAAGCAGCAGCAGCAGCAGTTGGTGCAGGCACATAGGCCAATCAGCAGCCACACTCACCGTCCTCAATCTCGTGTTCTGGAAGCGCGAAGGGGAGGCCGCTTTGCTGCTGCGAAGTGCTTGCTGCGAGATGGCTTGTGAGCCTGCTGCCGCTGCAGGCAGCCTGCGCGGACAATACGCCGCGTGCAAACAATGGTAACAATTCGTACGCAGCCGCCAACATGTCGGAGAAACAAGCGCAGAAGCCCAGATCAGTCTGATCAAGTGAATTGTCTCGACCTGACCGATGATTGGGCGCGGAGGGGACGTTGACGCGATCTATGATATTTGCGTTTGCGCACACGCCGCCTTGACCCTACCCAGCAGAATACCGTGCGCACACACTGCAACCGTCACCGCACGCGTCACCAGGCGCGTTGGGATTGGACAAGCGATTGAAGAGGTAGTCATTTCGACTCAAGAAGGGGGCCACCTGTGGCTACCCAGAAACTGCCATACAACATGCTGAGTAGCTCTGATAATGCGAGCAGAGACGAGTACGGTGCTCGTTTGATACTGTGTGCAGCTCGGTGGGGCCGGCAACCAGCAATGACACTGAACACAACGAGTACAACAAGTTGCAGTGGTTGCAAAGCAAACGGAGGTGTCGTTCCTATTCCTGCTTGTTACAAGCATGTTGATACACTGAGTTACGCATGCGGTTGATGGCAAACTGACCAGGGCGACGCGACTTAGTGCAACCGACCTTGTATGGTGCGAGGGGGCGCACAGCAACATAGGACATGCTTGAGCAGACAGTGTGATGTTTCTTGGTGGGGGCCGGTTGCAGGAGAGAGGCATGGCCTCCTAGAGCATAAACTAGGCGTTTGATGGGAAGCTGGTTGCGCAACTCCCTCTCCCTCTGCCGATCGCTGTGTGTCTGCAAACGGCTTCTGTGGTGTGTTCTGTGTTGCAAATGCCGCTGATAGCTGCGCTCACCAGGATAGCAGGGCAATTGTGGGGCCGCTATGGTGCTCACAGCCGCAGAACCACATGGCGTTCGTGAGCGCACACCTTCGGCAGACTGGCTCCACCAAATCAAACATGGCCTGTGCTGAGTACAGGCAGACCAACGAGTGCTATGCCGTCTCCAATGAGAACACCAGCTCGATATTGCAATCAGGTCCCACTTGGGGCTGGAGGTGATGCTATTGCCAAGCGGTCAACTGGTCAACATCAATGCGACGCGCAACCACCCTGCCTCGGGGGTCGTGTAACCACTCCATGTATTGTTAGGACTCACGGCGATGTGCTGCGGGACACACCGTGCGCTTCTTGCGTGGTTCGTCGTCCGAGACACTACCGCGCTGATAAACCGGCCGGCTTTGAATACCGTTGATTATTTCATTGTCAATGTGTTGCACATCAAGACCTTTCACAGCCGCTAGACATTCGCACTTGATCCCGTTGATACTGTCTTGACACGGCACGGACCACGCAGGCGAATGGCTGCACGCTTCGAGGATGAAGAGGCTCGAAGAACGGAATGCGGTGCGCTGTGGTGCTTGCCGCCATGTATGTGACACTGTATGCGACGCCAACTGCCCCGCACCAAGCGCACCACCGAGCGCATCGTCCGCGCCAGCCGTTCACCCGCGTGATGTAGCGGTTGTTGAGCGCCTTGCAAACAACTTCCATCGGCAGAAAATTGCGGCGCATCATCAGGCCTCCTGCGCTGCAGCCGCTGCCATTTGGCTTGGTTCTGTTCCCTCAAGTGCCACAAGGTGGGGGCCTCGACACAGCAGGCGCGCCATGAAGGCAGGCGCAGCACACATGGAGTTGATGGCGCATGCCTCCTACAGTATCCACTGTAACAGCCGCGTACTCATCCTCACGTCGCGCCCCAAGCCCTCTACTGCATGCATCCATGCTCATGCTACTGCAGGCGTACTGGCCGTTCCACCGCGCCAGCTGCCGCCCCAATCAGTTTGCTGACGCCATCGAGCCGTCCGAGCCCAAGTTTGCTGCATGGATGAGGGGCCACGGCAGGCTGGCCGTCCTGAAAGACGACGAGGTGAGCAGCTGGCCAGGACTACAAGTCGTTTCGTAACAATGTCAGGGGAGTGGCACGGCAGCACGGATCGCCGGCCTCCGCAAAAGGGGGGGGGGCGGGACTGATGGCAAATTGGAAGCCGACGGGCACACTCTGGTTTCCAACACTTACACGATCGCTCGAGTCCCCAGGTTGACCGCCTGGAGCGCGCCTCCAAGCCAGGCGGATGGCACGGGCTGTCGCGAGCGGATGTGATGGACTCGATGTACGGCCGCGTCGACCCAAAGCCGCGACGTGAGTCGGCGTGCCAAGACCAATATCGGGCACTCCTGGAAGCATTGATGTTTCCAGCAGTGTGCTTGAATGCCGTCCTTCCGGTACATGCTGCTGCGACACACATCATGAAGTGATCACCAGGCTTGGTGGTTAAATTCAAGTTGCACACTAGCAAAGTCGACCAGAGTGCCCCGTGATCCCGCATCACTCCTCAATCACTCATAACTCGTTCCTTCACTGACCTGCATGCCCCCGCCCTGACGGCCTGCAGCACCCACGTACGACACCCGCGAGCGCGGCGTGATGCGTGAGGCGGAGGAGGCTGCGCTTGCACGGCGCCAGATGCAGCTGGTCGCGTACAGCGCGGTCGCCGCCGCAGCCGACGCACCCACGGCAGCCTTTGATGCGTCCGGTGAAGGCGATGCGCCAGGAGTGGGGTCCCTACTGCAAGGGATCGGCGCCGGCGACGCGTGGGATGAGGTTCACATTCCTGAGGGCATGGGCCTGGAGGTCAGCAGCCGCCTCAAGTGGCGCCAGACGCAAACCCACGGTGAGCCTGTGGGATGATGGGGGTGTGCGGTGTGGTATGTGCTTGCGCAAGGTGGGTACTTCAGCGCCTGAGATGCAGCACACCCACGCAGCATCCCCTTGGGATCCTCCGCAGTCGGCTGCATAAGAGTTTGCACTCCATGACAACTTCCAGCTCTGATGGACTGGCTCGGACGGACTGCACATCTTGCTATCCTTCATCTATGCCAGCACTGCATGAGCGCCCCCCGTCCCAACTACTTTCTGCAGTGGAGGTGTTTGTGCGCTTGCCAGGCCCTCTGCTGGCGCAGCTGGCAGCCGGTCGCAGCATCAAGCGCAAGGCAAGTCCCCGACACGCGTGCCTGCCCCGAGTCGCGACCTGGCTGCGTTGTTTTGGCTGCAGTTGCGCAGCAGCCTGCACACAAGTGCCATGAACAAACAATGTTGAGGGCTAGCCCAGGCTCACAATCAAAACCACCATGCATGCCATGCACAAAAGGCACTTAAAATCTTGATCACTTATCCCGCCTTGCTAATCCACTCTCGTCCGATTCCACAAGGTGCGCGTGGACCTTGGCCCAGAGCACCTGACAGTGGCACTGGCGGGGGGCGAGGACGTGGTGGTGTCTGGGAGGTTGTTTGCCGGCGTCAAGGCTGAGGGCTCCACCTGGTTCTTAGGTGGGCAGAAAAGGTCAAGGCTCCCTGATGCCGATCACGCCCTCACTTTTCAGCTTGCTTTGGGTTGTCACGTGCCCCAGACGCACCCACACACCCTTGCGCCCGTCACGGTTGTGCATTGACCCTCACCCGTGTCACCCGGCCCCCGGCGGCAAGGCTGTGTCGCCCCGTCCCCAGCAGCAACATCCACACGCATGATGAATTGTGAAAGCCTGATGCCCCACGAATTCCGTAATAACAACAATCGCGGATTTTTTTCACCCCAGGCGACAGCATGGTGCAGCTCCGCCTGCTGAAGCGCTGCCGCCGCGGCCACTACGCCGACGGCACCACCAACGCCGACACCTGGTGGCGCAGCCTGCTGTGCGGCGCAGCGGCGAGTGAGTTGCTGCCAGGGCCCCACCCGCCGGCTTCGTACTACTCATCGCCGTATGAAGCAGAGTGATGAGAATTGTTGCAGGGCTACGCGGCCCACGTGAGCACTACTTTGATGATGTAAACCGTGTTCGCCTGTACAGTAGTTTGAGGCACAACACTCTTCGCACAATTTACAAAAACACTGTACAATACTGAAATATCATTCAACTCAAATCTGTGTAGACATAAAACAAGCCAACAGAGGGATGGCTGCTAGTCATAGCGGGCACAAGCAAGACCAAATCAGACCTTAGGACCCCTCGTCACTTTTGCTAATCCTGATGTCCCCAAAACCTGGCACACTGTTGCTGCTGCTCCTACTGCTGCTGCTCCCTCTGCTGCTGTCGCCGCTGCTGCTGCTGGTGGCGCTGCTGAGACCGCTGCTGCTGCGTGCGCTCGCGCCCCGCTCGGCCGCGATCACTGTGTCGGCCAGCCGCTCCCACACCGGCCGCCAGCGCCAGCCCTTTGCTCCATCCAGCTGTCCCTCCAGCAGCTCCAGGGTGCCCCGCAGCTCCTGGGCCTCAGCTTGCAACCTTGAACAAAGAGGTGGGAGGGCCGGCGTTGGGCTTGGTTAGGTCAGGGTGCTGCTCAGGCACGGGTGCAGCTGTTTTTCATGCTGGTTTCTGATTGAAGGTCCATTCATAACTGGTGTGGGCAGCGCGGAAGTTTTGCAATTGAATGTGTGGCTGGCGCAACTGTAAAAGGGCGTGCAGCCGTCCAATATGTGCAGGCACCATCGGCTGCGCTCCGTTTCTCAAACCGCCCGACGCACTTGGCAAGCTGCTCCATCGCTGCGTTTCTGTCCCGCATGAGCTCCAACTCCTGCTCCTGCACAGAGGAACGGCGTAATTTGGATCCAGCGCTTGGTAGGAGGCCCAACGCCAGCAAGTGGCACCAGACTGCGGCGTCGGACGTAACGAGTCGCCGCAGCAGCGTCTTCTGCAGAGGTTGACCGGCAGCCTTGGTCGCGGCATCACACTGCAAATTAGCTACACACCTGAACTTTGACGCGCTGGTTGATAACTGTGATTGTGCTGCCCACTGAAACCACGCCAGCCAGCGTCCAAAACAGCGAGCTTCTCAGGTCCACGAGGCTCAATGCGCTTTTTGAAGCCATTTAAAAACCCTAAAAGTCTCTATTGCTGTGGAGGCAGCCTGCCTCGTGTCACCCGGCTTTAGATCACTGCCATCGCTATGTTTGCGGAAGGAAGTGCCTTGAGGTTGATCAGCAAGTTGTTTCGATGTCTCTGGCAGCGTGGTCTCGTAGAACGGGTCAACTTTTTAGATCAAACATATTCAGTCGAGATCATCCAGGCGCGAATGCAACGGTTTGATGCGGAAACTTGCCAAATATCATTGATTAGACGTGCCCATGACTTTAGGCCGCGTCCTTGCGGCCGGCAGTCATGACTCGGTCAACAAGTACTGCTAGCGAAAGTACATAACGAGCCATCCGCGTGGTATAACTGCACAAGGGATGTCTCAAAGTGGGTGCAGAGTGGTGGCGCTGTGTTGCCATCCTCTCAGATGCGCTTCGAATGCGCGCAGTGCTGCAGCAACAGCGGCGCTTGGCGCCGCGCATGGCAGTCCGTTTAGTCTTCAGCAGGCAGCAGACCTTGACAACCGGCAGTGAAACACGGATCCCCGACCTAGGAGTCAGTAGCCAATGGAACGCTGGCATGCTGCTGTAGCGGCGCGCCGCCAAGGTCGCCGAGCGCCATCCTGGATTGAGACTTGCGACGCGGCTGTCGGCGCACCCAGCGCATCAACACGTCAGCGGCGGTTTGCAATGGCGCACCAATGGGCCTGCGGCCAACGGGGGCTGGTACTGGTGCTGGCGCTGGCTGTGGCGCTGCAGGCGCGCGTTGCCCAGGCTGTTGACCTGATATCGGCGTCGCGGCTGGAGACTTGCGTCGTGGACGGCAGCGTGGTGAGTGTATGGGGTCGCGTCACCGGTGGGAAAAAATTGGTGGCTATCTGCACCACACCACGGACAGATCCTACCCTTTGGCAAATCAGAGGGTAGGTGAAACGTGTGCTTAGCTTGACTCGAGCCTGATATGACCACGCAGACCACCTGCAACAGACACCTGCGCAATTGCCCAGCGGTCGCCGCGCCGCCCCCTGCTGTGCCCGCGCGCCCCTCACCCCTGGGCCCCGCGCCCCACCCGCCGGAGGGCAGAACGCCACACAGCAGCTGTCGTGCGCCCAGAAGCTGGTCATGACGCTGTCGGTGGACAGCGGCGACGCCGTAGCCACGTCGGTGCTGGAGCTGACCTTGGACTGCATCAACAGCCCGACGGGCAGCTGCCCCTGCCCCTGCAACTACGCCACAGACCTCAGCTGCCAATGCAGGCAAGGGCAGCTCAAGTGTATGCAGCTCGATTGTAGTGGAGGATGGGGCCGAGCAACAGGCCATTGCATAGAGCGTGTTGAAGCAGGATCTCAGGCTCTGGAAAGCCGCGTGCAGCGAGGAGTGGGGGTTGCTGCTGGCTGCAGGGGGCGCGCCGGCTGGCTCCAAGGGTACATTCAGGGGAATAGAGCAGCTGTCTTGGTGTGGAGCCACGTTGGGCCGGAGGGGGCGCGGCTGCAAGGGCGCCTCGCCCCTTGCAGGAGGCTGACCATTGCTTCCATGTGCAGGGGGCGCCCGTCCAGCCACTGGACACCTCTCGACGGCATGCGCACGCGGCCCGCGGCCCCCCGCACCCCTCCTATACGCCGGTGCCCCCTGCCGCCCTCCCGCGCTTCTCGACGCGCACCTGGCAGGGACCTCGTTGCCCCGCTGCGCGTCAACTTGACAAAGTCCCCGCTTTGGGCCAACTACCCGATCCAGTACCTTCAAAAGTTCAACTGGAAACCCACAGAGGCCATCGTGCGGCCGGGAAACGCAGTCTGCCTGGTGGGCCCTGGAGAGAGGTCGCGCTGAGTGCAGTCGGTGGGGGGTTGGAGTCCGGGCGAGGCACGGCTCGGGGCGCGGGGGAGCGGCCGCATTGGCAGATGTACGTACGGGCAATTGCGTGGAGGGCTGTGGGGGCGCTGAGTTCAGGGCGAGCGCCCAGCTCAGGCAAGAGGGGGCCCAGCGGAAGAGTCAGTGGGCGCAGCAGGTGTGCGGACTGCTTCACCTACCTTGCACAGTAATAAGCAAGGCGCCATCGGTGTGTGCGCTCGTCATTGCCAGGCGGGTGACTACGAGACCAACCCGACCTGCGGCTGGTACTACCTGGCGGGCGTCAAGCAGCCCGACAGCCAGGGCTTCACGTGCGAGTGCAGCGCGACGCAGATCTGGGACGACACATTTGGCACCAGCAAGGAGCGCACGTGAGGCAGGCAGCTTGATGATTGGGGGCAAATGTGTTGATGTTCCGGACTGCTGCTGGGGGCTCGACTGTGGGGCACCACGGCCTCAGGGCATGCAGACGCTCAAGCAGCGCCTGGCTGCGTTTGAAGTCTCGCTCGCCCCATTGGGCTTTGTATGAGACTTGCTGTCCAATCTGAGGTTGAATTGGATCCTGGCAAATACCACCCTTTCGTCCTTGCTTGCTCCCATGGCTCGCAAAACAAAGGCGTGCCAACCTGGACTGCGACTTCTTCTCAAACCTTTGGGACATAGCCCTGGGCCACAACCCCTGCAGTGCCCACTGCCTACAATTCGACCCAGTTTGGGCAGGGGTGAGCTTCGTGCAGTCATCTCCTGGTCAAAGTCTTTAACGTCCGACCTCTGCGTTGCGTTAGAATCTTGGCAGCCGGACTCCCCGCACCTGCTGGTGTTTTGCGCCTTGCCCGGCAGGCGCGCTGCCAGTCCACTGGCGCCTGAGACAAACACACACACACATACACACACACACACACACACACACACACACACACACACACACACACACACACACACACACACACACACACACTGCACTCTCTTACATGAGTTGCATCGTTTTTTTCGCCCCAGGGCTACGCATTGGGAGCATCCAGCCTATACTTTGAAATCAGCATTGGCCTTACCACCACCCTGGCGGCGACGACGGCAACCAGTGACTCGGGGGCCGGCACGACGCAGACCAGCAGCGAGGTCATTACAGTGAGCCACCTTACCCTGGAAGCGGTCAGCTTGTTACCAGCTGGCATGTGCGCACTCTGTCTCAATACACACTGCAGAACATCACCTTTTGCCCCGCCCTCGCCTGACGCCTTCAACCCTTCTGCACAGGTGTCACCCGTGACGCCCATAGCCGCAGCCAGCAGCCGCGTGCTCCTGGCCAAGCTGCTGGGTGACCTGGCAGGGTACTCGCAGCTGCCTGTGCTCAGGTGAGGGCGTGGAGAACATGCATCCCCGCGCAGGGGGGGGGTGTGCACACAGGGCACGACCCTCCTGGGCACAGGGCTCGCTGCGCTGCACACCACAGTCTTTCCATGGCCCCTACCTGCTGGCGCTCTCAGCCCCTCAGCCCAATTTTGCTTGCGAAAGAGTCCGTCCGCGATAGAGCTGTGGCGTACTAGACCCCTCGCAGCACTTTGATGCTGCGGCCGGTAACTCCTGCTTGACGCTCCTCTGGTACTCTGGATTGACCCTGGACAATCTCATCAGACCCCTGATGACTCCGGCCGACACACACTTTCTACTTCCCCTCCCCCCACCTCGCAGCGACAGGGTGCTGATGATCCCCGGCACAAGTGCCGACCTGAAAAGCGCGGACCGCTGGATGCTGGTCACCAGGGATCGCATCACATTCTCAGGCACAGAGTGCGACAAGGTGCGGGAGCACTTGGTGCATCCGGATTTGTCATGACGTTCGGAAGCCGAAGGGACGGAGGACGTTGTGGGAACCGTCCACCACCCTCAATCGAGCGTACCACCAGGGGATGCGTTAAGCAACCTGCTGACTCCGACTGTGTTGTAACCCGGCATGTGTTGTTTTGTTGCACCCATCATCAGGTGGGCACGTCCTTTGCGGCGTTCCGTAATCAGCCCAACGGCTGCGCCCGCGCGACGGGCACGTGCCTCACGGGGCAGCTGAAGGACCTGTTTGACGAGGACACCGCCAGGGTGGCGGCGGGGCTGGTGCCGCTGTACTGGGTGAAGCAGTTCGGCTACGGCACAGGCAGCGCCCTGGTCAGGTGCTTAGCTGCATGAGGAGGCGGTGCGGAGCTTGATCTTGGCAGGGCACAGGGGTGGGCTCGGGTGAACCATAGGAATGACCCCTGAATTTCGGCAACGCACTGCCCAGGTGCTTGTGTTACGGGCACCACACGCTTGCAACTATAGAAGGGTGCCGTCTGGGCCTCCAGCTTGTGTGCAACAGCTGTGAGCCTCCCAAAACCTCACTTTGCTTGCTCGCAGGTCCCCAGGGGCCAGCGACATCTCGTTCGCGCTTCCCGTAACCAGCCGCCGCAGCAGCGTGGTGACGCTGGAGGTGGCGGCTGATGCTGTGAAGTTCATTACCAACTCGTCACCAGGGAGGATCACCGGTGAGGCAGGAGCGTGTGGACGCCACCCTGCACAGCCGCTGATGCTGCTGGTAGCTTCTGTGTGGCCGCATCTAGATGCTGTCATGTGTTGCAAGCTGTCATGGCAAGGATCCACCATTCTGCTCCCACGTCCGCGCATGGGCGCGTGCAACATATGTGGCGTACAGGCGCGCGCATGTGCACCTTTGACACCCTCCGCTGTGGTGGATTTGAAGCTTTGGCATCTCGAGGCTACCTCTGGGCCAACATTACAAACACGGGTGAGCAAATTTCACAGTCGCTCCCCGCCGCCTCACAGACTCCGAGTGCGCTGTGGGGCCAGCAGCCGCTTGTTTAAGCTGCATGGCCAGCAGAGCGGGGGTTTTCATTGAAGCATCCACCCATCAGGGGGCGTTGCATCCACCCGCAGTCGGGGGTTGTGGCCTCACCTGCGGGCCCCCATCGGGCGGGCCTCCTGTCCTCCCAGGGCGTCCAGCACCCTGGGGGTCCGCGTCCATGTTTGGCTCCTTGGACGCCACGTCGCTTCACGCCGCGCTTGGCCAGCAGCATGGGAAAGCCCTTTGGAAGGGGTGGCTCTTGCTTTCCAAGCGGGTCCACGCCCCTGGCTTATTGGGAGGAGGACACTCGTGGTGGGACGCCTGAACACTGAACCCCACACACCCCGCAGGCACCGTGGCGGCCAGCTACACGCTCGCCGTCGCCAACTGCACTGTCGGCGTTGCGCCTGTGGAGGCGCAGCGGCTTGCGCTGGACCCAAACGCCACGATGCTGATCACGCCCTTCCAGGTGAGCCGATCGGTTGGCAATCAAACTCACATCAATTCCCAATCAATTGGCACATGATGGCAGCGGACGTGATCTTTGGCACATGGCCATGGCTCAGGCCTTGCAATTTCACGCGGCAGGGATGGTGGGGATGGGGCCCGTGCGTGGATGGGGCGCTGCAGATGCAAACCTGCGGGCGCCAGGCGCCAGCTGAGCGACGCCAGCCGTCAGCCGACCACCCCGCGCTGCGCTGCGCCGCGGCGCTTCCCCACAGATATACGTCCAGGACAGCAATGCCAGCGACGACCGGTACTGCTGGCTGATGCTGTACGACAGCCAGGGCCGCGTCAGCGACAAGAGCAAGGCGCGTGCACTGGCTGCGCGCGTGCAGGGGGGTGCGAGGCGGTGTTGCAGTGACGCGGCCCCGCTTCTTTCCTCATCCAAGCCCTGCCACCACCCTGGTGATCAGGTTGCAAACGCCGTTAACTTTTGGACCTGATGGTGTCATCAATCATCTCGTTGCATGCTGCCCTCACAACGCAGGTCCCGTTTTTCACCAACGCCACACAGTGGGGGGAGGTCCCCACTGGTGGCCTCAAAGGCGGCGGCGACGGCGTCCTCATCCGGCGCACCCCCTCTGAGTGCACCCAGGTGTGTGGGGCAATATACAATGTCAAGTGCCTCTGGAAAAACAAGTGCTGGGGCAAGATCGGCGGAGTCTTCGGCCTCATCGGCGGCCTGGTCGCGGGAGGTGCGCGCACGCCGGCTGCCGCAACAGCAGCACGGCGAGAAGCGCGCAGTTCGCGAGGCGCGGGCGGTCTGTGCGGCGTCCGTTTGCTGCAGCCCGCTTCCTGGGCCGGAAGCGCGCCGCCGGCTCTCAGCGCTTGGTGCACGCAAAGCTGGGCGGGCCGCCATCGGTCCCTTTGGTGGCTTGCGACCCCAGAACGGCCCCACCTTCGACCGCGTCGGCCCCCCCCTTGAATGCTGTGTCTGCTGCATGTGATCATCCTCCTCGCCCCCCCCCCCCAGGCATCGCCCTCATCGTATTGTCCAAGCTGGGCCTGCTGATGCCCCTGCTCAGCTGCTGCTGGAGCGGCCTCACGTGCTTGTGCCGCCTTGAGCCACGCGCCCGCGGCGGCCGCGGCGGCAGCCCCAGCGGCGCCGAAAGTGTCGGCGGGCGCGGGGGCCGGTACAGGCCAAGCCTGATGGAAAGCCCCGACGAGGGCGAGCAGAGTGGCCGCTGGGGCATCGGCAGTGGTGGTGTGGGACGGGCCTATCAGCAATGGTGGGGACAACGGCAGCAGCAATTCTTTGAAGGAGCGGAAGGCCACCATCCCTCCGGCGATGGCCACGGCTACTCTGATTCGGTCGCTCACGGGGCGTTGGCCAGCGGGCGCCAGTCGTTGCGGCAGCAGCAACAGCAGCATCAGCAGCAGCAGCAGCAGCAGCAGCAGCAGCAGCAGCAGCAGCAGCAGCAGCAGCAGCAGCAGCAGCAGCATCGTGGAGGGCGTGCCAGCAGCCTGATCAAGGCGCCTGAGGGGCCCAGCGGCCGGTACTCCGGCCTGGTTTTGGGGGCCTTTGGCGGTTTCAGGGGTTGGGGCATGCCTTGGGGCGGTGGCGGCAGCGGTGGCGACGGGAGAGGCAAGGCCGGCAGCGGCCGCAGCGCGGACGGGGATGCCAGCGGTCCGCCTCGCGCGCCGTCGGTGGGCAAGGGGCGGTTCAGTCAGCTGCACGGTCCGGGGGCGGGCCTGGACTCGGCGGACGGGGGCGGCCGCGCACCCAGGGTTGGCGGCAGCGGCAGCAGCGGCGGCGGCGGCGGCGGCGGCGGCAGGGAGAGCCGCTTCGAAGGCGGGCGGCCATACGCTTCGGCGGACGAGCCCGGCGGCGGCGAGCCCGCTCGACGCTCGTCGCCGCGGGCGCTCGAGCAGCATCTGCCGGCGATGGCGCCGCCGCGGGCGCGCGAGTCGCTGCGGCGGCCGCCGCCGCTGGCGGCGGGGGGCAGGCAGGACCGGCTGTTTGAGAACCCAGGGTATGGCCTTGAGGAGGACGAGCCATTGCCTGCGGGCGGCGGCGATTATGGGGGGCCGCAGGGCAGGGGCGGCGGCTGGGGTTCCCCGCCGCCGCTGCAGCAGATGGACGGCCGGGGCTACGCAGAGGCAGGCAGGGGCCCGCCTCGGCCCAGCTTGCGGACGCCGTCGCCGTCGCCCGGGGCCCGGCCGGGCAGCGGCGGGGAGGGGCGCGCGCTCGCGGCGAGCCCGTCTTCTGGCGCGCAGCGGCTGCAGCCTTACGGCGGCGGCGGCGGCGGACCGCCTGGTGGCGGGAGGCGCGGCCTGGCAGACGGCCCCCGGTTGCAGCGTCCGCACTCGGAGGTTGGCGGCGGTGCTGCCGGCGGTTTGGAAGGCGGCTTGGCCGGGGACGGGGGCAGGGGCGGTCACTATCTGCCGGACGGCGCGCGGGCGAGCAGGGCTCTGCCGTCGCTGCGGCGGCGGAGTAGCAGCTCTGGCGGCCCGCCGTCGCCGCCGGAGCAGCAGCAGCCGCAGCAGCAGCAGCAGCGGGCGTCCACCGCTGACGGCTGGCGCCGGCCGCAGGCGCCCCCAGCACTGGCGCAGCTCGGGCCTGAGGTGGTGGCGCGCGCGCCGCGGCCGCCGCCGCACCCGCAGCAAGAGCGGGGATCGGGAGCCGGCTTCTCATCCGAGCCGGGAGGTCTGCCCTCCAGCCGCTCAGCGCAGGATTTCGGTGGCGGCGGCAGCCCAGGCGGCAGCCCAGGGCGCACCAGAAGCCAGGGCGGCAGCCCCGTGCCCGGCGCAGCACGGCGCCAGCCCGGCGCGTCTGCGTATGGGAGCGGCGCGGCGCGCGAGGGCGGCCGCGGTCCGCCGCCGCGACGGCAGTGGAGTGGCGCGGGGGATGAGGCCGGGGTTGGGGGTGGGGGCGGAGGCCACAGGGCCGATGCAGCCCACGGCCGCCCCGGGCGCCAGGCGTCTGGGTCGGTCTTCGAGTCGCTCAGGGGCGGCATGAACCACAACCCGTTGTTTGGCGCTGATTGATTTCGGGTTTGCCACTTACTTCCTGCAAATTCGACTTTTTTATTCTTTGGTTTTATCTGTTGTATTCAGTTGAACTGCCTCGGCTGGTGCGCAGATCACTTGGCATGTGCCGAGGCTGAGTTTGTGCAGTGACGAGGCAAAGCCCCGCTCATGAGGCTGAGCCTGGACCACCAGGTTGATAAACATAAACCAAACCAGCAAGCCGGCAACTCTGCAAATGGAAGACCCAAGCGGCCCCAGCGTATGGGAGAGCGCAGTGCGTGCAGCTCGTGTCCCCTCGCGCCGCGCGCTGGCTGGGAAAGTGGGACAAAGCGTGAAGCGCTCAGACGCAGCACCGCCCGCCTCCTGGGCAGTGCGCGCCGGTCCCGCGTGCACCGCGAGCTGCGAACGGGTGCACCTTCAGTGACTGATGTCGCGTGCTTCGCTGTATGCGTGACGTGCAGGCAAAGGCAAAGGGGCAGGTCCCAGACGATGCGCATGAGTACCACGCCCGCAAGGCAGCCAAGGACGCCGCGTACCAGAGCCTGCAGGTGCGCGTGGTCGACGGCGCCGCGCGCAATTGCAAGTGCTTCAGCTGCGCGCCCGCCGGCGTCCGCAGGGGAGGCGGGTGCAGCGGGCCACCGGCGGCGCCGCTGGCGCGAGCGGGTATCACAGAGACTCGCGGGGGAATGCGCGCCTGGGCAGGCCTAGGGAGCTGCAGACACCGGCAGCCAACCTGTGCCGACAGCCCCCCGCTGCCCCTGGTGATGTGAACCCTGACGTGGCCCTTACTTTCTGCTCTCCTCCGCATCCTCCGCAGTTTGCGCCGTTCTGTCCCCACATGCCGACCTGCGGGAAGGAGTGCAGCGCCCCCCGCTGGGCGTGGCGTCCCAAGCCGCGCTGAAAATGCAGCCGGCGGCCGCATGTGCACCATTGGCTGAGAACCTCGCTTGTAACCCCTCAGCTGCAGCATTCCTTTCAACGTTGGTCAGTTTACATACTTATTGCAGGCGTCAGAAGCCGTCCCGACCATCAAGCTTCAAAATCGTCAGCCTCGCCCTACTAGAGGGGGGTCGTGTCAGCCAGCTGCGAATGTTAGGATCACTGGGACCGCCCACCCGACCCTGGACGCGCTGACCCTGGCCGCCCCGCCGCCGACCCCGGCCGCCCCGCTGCCGACCCCGGCCGCCCCGCCGCCGACCCCGGCCGCCCCGCCGCCGACCCCGGCCGCCCCGCCGCGGAGCCGGGCCGCGTGTTTGGCGCGGAGGGGTCCGCGGGCTCGGCGTCGAGCAGCGAGTAGTGCAGGGTGTACCACAGGCGCCGCCCCTGGGCGTGCTGGGCCTGCAGAGCGGTGGTGCAGGTTAGGTTGGGTTGGCCTCAGGCTTCTTAAGGCTCAAGAACAAGTTTGTGTACGATTGGCGAGCTGCCGCGAGCATCGGCAGCACGCGCGGCTGCGCTCATGGTTGCGGGCAGCAGGCATCAGACCACTACTTGTGGTTGCAGGCAGCAGGCACTTGAACCGGCGCACATCGACCCGGCTGTTAGTCGGAGGGTCGACAGCACAGCTCTTGAGGCCCGCAGCGGCTGCCGGCATCACTGGACTGCGGTTTCCAGAACGAAACCCCGAAAGTCCCCAAACCTTGTAGCACGGCGGCACCGCCCGCTGGTCCCCTTGGTCATTGGAGCCGCCGCCCTGCCCCTCCACGGCGCGGTCAAACGCGTCGATGTCGGGGTCAACCGCCTGCCCCGCGCACTTCCCGTTGGCCCCGCCGCCGGCGTCGCCGCCCGCGCCGGCCGGGGCGTCGCGTGTGTCGGCGCTGCCTAGGTTAAGGCCGGTCAGGTGGGCGGCCAGCGCGTCCGCCAGCTTGGCTGCGGCCTGCCAGCAGCATGACAGGAGGGGAAGGTGGCAAGGGGGAGGGGATGGATCGCAGCATCGCGCGGAGGCACGACCACTCGGGGCACAGTACCCCGAGCGGCGGCAGCGCCGATGCATAGTGGAAACAGGACCCAGAATCACAGAACTCTGCACCTCAGGTTGAATGCAGCAAATTGTGCAGAGATACCCGCCTGCAAACATGCAATAGGCGGCTAAATGGTGAGGACATGATGCGTAGGGTTTGAATTGAAAGGTCATGTGGGAGATCGCCAGAGCCCATCGACATCAAGCAACCCACCTTGCCGCCTGATGCTGCGCGGGGGTCTGAGTACAGCACTGCGTCGTGCAGCGCCGTCCACAGCCGGGGGGACCCCACCGGCCCCATGCGGCGCAGGTTGACGGCGTCGAGGACGGGGGTGGGCGGTACGGGGGCGTGGCTGCGCTCGGAGCACTCAAACACGATGCCCTGCGTCCCCTGCCGATTTGGGAGGTAGCGGATCGGACATTCTTTAGAGCGATTGGGCTGGCACACACGCAATCCAGATTTGCTTGCGCGGCGTGCGTGATCCAAGGCTGCAATCAGTGTCAACAGTCTGCACACCCATCGGAGCACACTCTTCCATGCAGACGCATTTTATGGACTGGAAAGCAAAAGGCCAGCCAGGGGCACAAAGGTGACATCACCATGACTCACCATGGAGGGGCAGCTCACATACACCTGGTTGCGCCAGCTGCCCCCAAACACCCCCAGCTGCCGCGACACCTGCTGCTGCCCCGCCGCGGCCTGCTGCGGCGCGCCGCTCATGGCCGCTCCGCCGCCGCTGGTGCCGCCGGGCTGGGGCGGCAGCTGCTCGAGCAACCCCTGCACTGAATGGTCCTTCGCCAGGCGCAGGGAGGCGGTCAGCCCCGTCTGCGGGCAGGAGACGATCAGGTCGCCTGCAAGCAACAAATGGAGTGGAAAGGGGGGAGCACACACCCACAGCCTGAAGTTCCACAAGAAACTTGCTCAATCCCCCTGGCTTGGCCGATCCAAACCTCAGCTCAACCCAGCTTCCGCGATACAAGAACAGACCAAGACCTCGCTGCTCAGATTCCTGGACAACTTACCCTTGTAAGCAACGGGGCTGCCCTCTGCAGAGAGCGGGTCCAGCAGCACCAGCGACGGCAGCTGCACGGCGTACGTCTCCGCCGCCGCAGAAGCTGCCGCCGCGCGCGCGCCAGTGGGCACGCCCTGCGTTTGGTGCTGGGCGCCTGCCGGGCCGCAGAGGGTGATGGTGCAGTTGCCAGCCAGCTCGATCTTCACGGACAGGTCGCGGCCGAGGCGCTTGGCCCTGGGATGGGCGACGGGCACCAGCTGCCAGTGCAGCCGCGCCATCGGCTGGGCCTGCTCCTGTCGAGGCCGAAGTATGTGATTCATAGGGCATAGGGAATATGTGGGAGCTACAACAATAGCAAATGAGAATCTTGTGCCGGCGCCAAGGCGGCGTATGCGGAGGTCTGGCAACTCAAAGCGAGCGCCCTGACCCTCTATCACGGCGTCCTTAACCCCCGCACCCGCCTGGAATCGACGCCCTCCCAGCTGCCCTGCCCAAGCCCATGCCCCTCGGCCCCCTGGCACCCCGCACCCTCTGCTCCGGCATCGCATAGCGCTTGGGACCCTCGTCCGGGTCGAAGGTGCAGATCTCCTGCAGCCTTAGCTGGCAGCCGTGAAACCTACTCCCAGACGTCATCACCCCTGAACAGGATCATAAACAGGGGGCTCCGCGGTTGCACGGTGATGCCAAGCTTCAAAGACGCCACCTGTATGGCCTCAGAATCGACCACGGGGATTTGCAACAGTCCTGATATCTTTTGTTTTTGTTCCTCGCGCCAGTGACATACACACGTCAGGCACCCACCCTCTGGAGCAACGTCGCGGCACGACACGTAATGGTGGCCCAGGGTGACCACCGGCGCGTCCTGGGGGTCAGAGCTGGACCTGAGGGCGTCAGCCAGGAGGCCCAGCGCGACGCGCACACAGGCCAGCAGGCGCTCCAGCGGCGTGGGGGCCCGGAACGCGGCGAAGAGCGCGCGCCCGCCGCGCATGAAACGGTCCTCCTGTGTTAGGGCGGAAGAAGGACATGGCGGCCCTGAAGTGTGTTCAAGGGTCAGCACAACACAACTGCCTGGGCCGGCGCACCCGCTTTGCCGCTGGCACCCGCGCCGCGGCCGTGGCGGGCTTGGACGGGAGAACCGCCCGCGACGGCTTGCTATTGCTTGAAGCGATGAGATTCATTTCGGGTCTCTTGTACAGGGGCGATTGTGCAGTGGCTCAGCTGGTGATGTCCATCGTTCTAGTACGAGGTCGGGCTTCACGAGGCTCAACCAACAGAACGGACCGCACGCGCGAATTTTGACAAAGATCGACCCCCAGGATATGCAAGGAGCAAAATTCTGAAACATCGCATCACAAAGGCACCTCTGCCAGCCATGGCTCACGCCGACGACCCTTACGCTCTCAACGCCGACGGCACCGCGGCCGACCCCCTCGCGTTCCAGGCCGCCCTGAGGGCGGATGCGTCGAAGATGGCAGAGCTTGAGGCCGACCCAGAGCTACAGGGTGTGCTGCTAGGACCCGACACTGCCGCCATGCAGGCGCTGCTGCAGCAGGCGTTTCAGGTGCGTGAGCTTTGGCAGGCCGTTCTGCAGCGAGTGCTGACCACGACCACAGGCACATCACAACGGGCTCGTGGAAACGCAAGGGCTTGCCAACATGCAACCCAATTTAAATCGCGATCCAGCCAGCCTGCGCTCAACTGCTGTCAGCAGCTGGCAGTGCGTCTGCAATTGGGGGTCACGGTCCTGCAAGCTGCGTCAAACTGCCGCATGTCACAGGCTCAGATGGCCAAGGCCAAGGATATGGGCCGCTGGATGGCAGAACGCACCATCGATGCCCAGCGTGCCTCTGCGACGGTGAGCGCCAACCACCTGCCAGTGCGGGGCCAGAAAACTTGGGGATGGCACAACCCCTGCGTTTGCTGCTTTGAGGCCGAGACAAAGAACACTCCCTGTGTCAGTGATTGGCGGGGTTGACGCCAGGATGTGTTTTGCAACGTGACCCCAATATACAAAGGAGCACCCGCGCCTTTATGCTTGCCAAACAATTTTCAGGTGCCACGCGACACCGTCCAGCTCTACGCACAGCTGGCGCAGAGCGGGCTGCAGTACGGCCCCGCGTTCCGGCTGCTGCGCAACGTCCACGTCCCCGACACCAACTGAGGCCGCCATCAAGGTGCCGTGCTGTCTCGAATTGTAACACGAGTAATCAACCGGGATGAGCGCGTGGCAATCAAGGGGGCAGTCATGAGAAAGCAACGAAGACTTGGCAGGCGTCCAGCAGAGGCGGGCGAAAGGGCTTGACAAGGGGTGCGGCAGCACCAGAAGGGGTGTCAAGCATTGGGCTGCGCGTGTTTGTCCGCAGCAACAGGTTTTGTATGCTGACCTGCTTGCAGGTCACAGACGAGAAGAAAATTCCAGTGCAGGAACCCTCAAGTAAGAGTTTGACAGGCGTGACGCTCCACAAGTCAACAACATTCAAATGTCATCCATGGATGGCATGTACACTGTATGAACAGCCTTTGCTCAGGAACATGTTTGGGGCGGTAGCCAGCCATCTCAGGCCTCTACCCGTGGCTTCTGCTTGTGCTATGCAAATTTATCATGCACAGTCCGGTCCTCAAACAAAAGCTGCTGCCCCAGCTGGGACGCCAACGTTTGCTCTCCTGGCCCCTCATCCAACACTTGCCCCGACCGCTGCTCGTGCAGACGCCGCCGCCCTGCCGGCTGCTCCTGCTGCCGCTCGGCGACCCGAGCCCCTGACCATGCCCAAGCCTCTCCTGTCAGCGGCCGCCGCCGGAAGAGCCAGGGGGGCGACATGCGCCGGGGCGCAGGCGTCTGTGCGGCAGCAGTCGCTGCTCGCGCTCCGTTCGCCAGCGTGCTGGCCGTCAGCGTCCGCACTGATGGATCAGCTGCCACTGCAGCAGCCGGCTGCGCCAGACGGATCCCCTGCTTGGCCATCCGCAGCTGCTTGGCAGCTTCCAACTGGGTTCCTGGTGGAAATGCCAGCTGCACCTGCACGGCGTTGTCCTCGTCCGCGTCACCAAGCGCTGCGCCGCCTGCGCGCTTCCCAGCTGCCCAAAGTCGATACATCCACCAGCAGGGCGCGGCCACCACTGCAAGCGCGATGAGCGCCACGTCAAGGCAGCACACCTGCCACCACAGCATCCTCTGGCCCTGGGTGTGCAGGAAGCTTCCATGGTCCTTCAGGGCAGCTGCGTACTCGACCCAGTCCGCGGCCTGGGCGCGATACGGCACCCGTGCCGCGCGCAGCCGCTCGCTGGCCACCGCCGCGGCGCGCGCATAGGAGGGGTTGGAGAGGACCTCTTTGACCGCGGCCGCGACGCGGGGGGCGTCGCCGCGTGTCAAGACGCTCTTGCGCAGCATGATGCCGCGTCCCTGGGGGCGGTTATGAGGAGGGCAATCCCAGGTCAGATTCCTGCTCTGGGAAAGTGTCCGCAAGCCTGAGCTGTTGGGCAGGCACTGGTACCCTACCCTGGATTGCACCTGAACACTGCGTGAGCCTTGCTAACGGGCGACATCCTGAGATGTTCAGGGCCGGGTCTAGCCCTGGTGACGGGCAGCAGTGCAGGACACACGCACCTGGTCTGCGGCGAAGCGTATGAGCTCTCCCTGGCCAGCAAGCAGGGGGGCGCCGACGATGGGGACGCCGTGGTATGCAGCCTCCCCGATGGACAGGAAACCGCCCTGGCCGGGTCCATTGTTAGGAGGGTGGGGCACGGCGGCCGGTGTGCAAATGTATTTATCAGGACCCGGCAATCGTAACACACCTTTCATAAACCAAGACAGCACTGGCGTGCAGCAAAAAGGCATTGCGACATGTGCGATACCCCCAGCCGGCGCCTTCCATCCCTGATTCACATCAAGTGCAGGTGCAAGCCAGCGTCTTGCGGCAGGTATGCACGCACCTGGGTGACGAACGCTTTGAGTTTGGGGTGGCCAAGCAGGTCGTTCTGGGGCGCCCACGTCACCACTTTGACGTTGGTCACGTTTGCTGCCTTGAGGTCTCCCGCCAGCGCCGCCCGCTCGTCTTCAGACAGCTTCCAAACAATCCGCACGTCAGGCAGCAGCTGAGCAGCCCGCAGCACCGTGAGGCTCGCGCCGGCCGGGGCGGAGAGGGTGCCGCCAAACGACACGAACACCGCTCCCAAGGGGCCGGCGCCAGACACCCACGAGCTGAGGTCCCGAGGCAGTGGCTTGGCTGCGGTAGGGAGAATGGGGCCGATGTATTTTGTGATGGGCCCGACGGGGCGCGGCGGCTCTGTGACAAAATTTGAGTTCACCAGCTCCAAGATCGGCTGCACATAGGGCCACCTGTCAGGCAGCATTGCGATGGGTGCCGCACGGGGGCGGTTGCAGATGAGACGTGTGCTTTGGGGCGCCGCTGGCGCACAAGTGCTCGTTCACACCAGCTCGCAGTTGGCCACATCGGGTCTGCGGGCCACTCCCGTTCCTTTACGCAGGGCTCAAAGGGCGTATGAGCACCAACTCATAAACTCCTTGCCAAGCTCCAAGCTGGCCGCGGCGCAGGCCCCCCTGTACGCACCGCGCACGCCCCTCACCTGAGCGGCAGATCATGCTTCCTGACCAGCTTCTGCACCCACATGGCTGGGTGCCAGTACACTGCCTTGAGCAGCAGCTGCGCCGCAAGCGTTGCCGCTACGTTGGCGGCGCGCTGTGGGAGGCTCATGCCGTTGGTCGGGAGAAACGTGCCGACAGCTGGGACGTACGCGGGCGCGGACGGCGCGCCGTAGAACAGCGGCTCATACAGGGAGCCGGCAACGCCGACGTCGAGATCAACGCAGGGCAGGCCGAGGGCTGATGGGAGCAGCGCGCCGAAAGCGATGTTGTCTGTGAATCGAAGCGGGCGGGTGAGGGTGTGCGCGCGGACGTATTGCGAGGGATTCTGTTCTGAGACGGGAGGCCTGGGCTCCGGGGGCGCGCCGCGCGTTGCCTGCATTCCACAGGCGGCCCATGCAGCTCTGCAACTTGCGCTGTGCCGTCCTGCTCCTGTGGGCCTGTGTGAGCAGCCCAAGGGGCTTTGCAGGGTGCGGCCCACCTGTGACGACCAGGTCGATGGCCCCAGGGCCGTCGCGCAGCGCGCGCAGCCGCGCCATCAGCCCCTCGTGGCTCAGCATATAATCAGTCCTGTTCGCCAGCGCCTCGACTATCATCCAAACGCCGTGCAGCGGGCCCGCCTCTGCAGCGCGTCTCTTGTCCTGCTCGACCCACTGGCAGTCAAGCGGGTAGGTGACAAACCCGACCCGTGCGCCGGGGCGACGCTGCGACAGCACGGCTTTCGCAAACGGCACGTGACAGTCGGGGGATATGAAGCTGATGTCATGGCCGCGGGCCGCCAGCTCAGCTGCAAGCTCCAGGTGAACTAGGATGTGTGTGCGCTCCCCGAGGGGATTGAAGAGCAGCCTGTAGGCGCATGCAGCGCGTGGTGCCGCTGCAGCCAGCAGCAGCGCCAGCAGCAGCAAGCGCAGGGCACCCAGGCGCATCGACAGTGGCCGTGGGTGAAAGGCGCCGCCAGGCTGCAGAGACTCCATCTGAGTCAAACCGTCAAGGCGCTCTGTGTGTATAGTGGCAGTAGCGGGAGCGTCTTGGCAAGGGTTGACCGCCGATGGGCGCCCTGGGGCACAGAGAAGCACCTGGGAAGAGGGCGTATCTTCGATTCAAATAAGAGTTAGCTAAAGAGATTTCTTTTTTTGATCGTTGCTCAATTCTATACGGAGTCTGGGAGAGCAGAAGCTGCTGTTGCACGTCCCCGGTCCTCTGTTCTCCATCCTCAATCTCACCAGCGACCGGGTCAATTGCAAATGATCACCAATGTCAAGCCCGCCACATTAGCCACCCGTCGTTTATCCAAGCACTGTTAGGGGTGGTGCTGGGTCCCAGCGGGCGCGGCGCTCCTGGCGCTGGACTATACAGGAATAATGATGACGGCAAGGACCGTCTCCAGGGCCAGGCTAGGTAAGCTGCCACCCGCGGGCATGGCTCCGTGCTGTTGCTGCTGCTGCTGCTTCTTCGGCATGGGTGCTGCTTGCTGCTGCAGCCTGTCACTCGAGGAGTCATACGCGGGCGCGAATGGTCTGAATTAATGTATTCTTCACCTTGGGGTTCCGTCCACAGGCCTTGGGCTGGTGGCCTTGGTTCTGGCGCAGCAGCAGCTGACCGTGGTTGCCATCGAGAACGCGGAGTTCTCCGTGATCCCAGACGTCGCTCCGTGGCCTAAGACTTTGCCCGTGGACAGGGCATTCCCGACCAACCTGCCGCCGGGGCTGCCGATAAACCTTCCTCCCGCGCCGTCGGTGCTGGTGCCCGGCCCCCAGGCCGGGTGCGCCACCACCGTGCGCGAGGTGCTCACGAAGAACGGCCGCTCCGCCTTCATAGCACTGCTCTCGTCCTCACCTGAGGGCCGCGGCGTGCTCGACGGCTCGCTGGCCGCGACGGTCCTCGCGCCCACAGACGCGGCGATCGCGGGGCTGCGCGTGCTCGGGGCAAACGCCGACCCGGCGCAGGCCGCTATGGTGGCGCAGTACCACGTGCTGCAAGGCCGCCTGCCGCTGCAGCAGATGCTTGTCGAGCCGGGGCTGTGGCTCAACTCGTCGCTCACCAAGGCCACGTGCCCGACCGCCTTCCAGACGCTCACCGTGCTGCCGGGCAACGCGACCGCTGTCAAGTGCGCGCCGGCGCGCTCTGCACGGCGCGGCGCAGCTTGCATGGGCATATAGATTCAAAGCGGAGCCAGATGGAGCCCTGGTTGGCAGTTGGCTTGCAGATGTCACTGTGGTCAGCACACACAGCTAGCAACTTGTGGTGTCCCATGCTGGGCTTCCGCCGTCCATGCCTCGTCCACCCCCGGTCGGCGGTCCAGAGCCGGCGAGCCCCCTCGAACGCCTCCCGGGCCGCAGCCCTCTGCGCCGTCCCAATTACGCCGCGTTCTCCCTCTCCCCCACGCCCTTCCCACGCGCCCCACCGCCCAGGCCCTCCCCCGAGGCCTACGTGCGTGGTGCAGAGAACACCGCCCGCATCACCGTCGCAGACCTGCCCGCGTGCAACGCGGTGGTCCACCTCCTGGACTCGGCGCTGCAGCCCTGCTGCACCAGCGTGTTTGAGCAGCTGCCGCAATTCAGCGTCGTGAAGATCCAGCCCAGCTACTTTGACGGTTACCGGCAGCAGGAGCCGCCAACCAACGACGACGGCTCCAACAGGCGGCTGTTTGAGGAGTCCATGGTCGACCTGCTGCTGGTGGGTGGCGTCGAGTGACGCCGCGGTCGGCGGCCGGTGACCGTGGGTGGCCTCTGTGTGGGGCGGGTGACAGCGGCATCGTTGGTCGGCGGGAGCTGGGATTTGGCGTTCGGCGAGGATTGGGGGCGACGGCGGGGCGGTGCGGGGAGCGGCAGTGGCGCGGAGCAGCACACTGTCCATCCTGCTGCTCGTGCGCTGTGGGATCAAAATCATTCTTGCTCTGAATCAGGCAACGGCCCTGAAGCTGTGCTCACATAAGCCGCGTTCATATGAAGGGTCCAAAAGGCGCAACAGAGCAGCTGGCGCCACCCACCTCTGCGTCCGGCTGCCAAGCGTGATAGCCCCCGTCCCTTGTCCCCATCCCGGGCCCCCGCCCCCTCCGTCCTCCCTCCAAC